TATGCATGTACTATAGGAAATTCATTAAAGATTTTGCTATGATTCCCAGCCATTAACGAGACGCATGAGTAAAAATAATTTGTGGAGATGGGGCGCAGAAGAGCAGGAAGCTTTCGAAGCATTGAAAATCACACGAACTACTGCTCATACGTTGGGAATAATCATTTCATATCAAAACATCCATAGTAGGGTACTTCACATCCTTTATAATGTATTCAGGATATTTTATTATTGATACTAGGCAGGTGAGTGGGTTGAGTGACGTTCCTTAAAAAAACTTACATTAAAACGTTTTTTTTAATGGAAGTACCGAAACTTTTATTAAAATGTGTCGTGCAAAGTGGCTGTGACCTAAAGTTTCTGATGGCACAAGAATTTCATTAAAATTTAATAACCTTCCTTTAATGAAAATTTAGTACAGATTAGATTCACACATTGATATAAATACAAATACGTGTTACATAAGAGAATATTACGAAACAGATGTGTCATCAAATATTGATACAGTTTGTGAATTTTTACTACCGAATAATTCTCTATACTTACCAATAGGAACAAAATTAAGTTCATTCATTAAGAAATTAATAAGACAACATTGAGAAGACGTATCACTACTGGAACCGGACAAACTTCCAGCGGACATAGAAAAATGGATATTACCAGTAATGACGAAAGAATCACAGGAACCGGAGCATATAGTTGAAAATGGTAAGACACTTTTAGCTTTCGCTAAGTATAAGACAGAACGAAACCGTTAATGGGATGTTTATAAACTTTAAGTTTTTAAGTAGAAAACTCTCGTTCTCGTGTTATTATTACACAGTTTTATGTGAAACAGAAAAAGCGAACTTTATTAAAAGCCTTGTGGTACGAGGCTTCAAATTTCAAACGACTAGAAATTCGACAGATTTTTCGCTTCACTTCTCTACTAGAGAAGCAAAAGCGTAAACACGTAGAGAGGTAGACAATCCCTACGTCTTTAACTCACCATTTCACTATGTCTCTAGAGAAAAAATCATCAATAGTCTTCGGGACTTAGTGGCTGGACGCTGAACGCGATCTGATGACTCACTTTCATGACCCCCTGCGCTTTTACGTCATTACTCTTTCATGTCTTTCTGAAATTTTTCAATGAAAATTCGACAGGCTTTCGATAGTGTCGAATTTTTAGTCTGTCGAAAGCTTTCACTCGAAACTCGACAGTGTCGAAACACGCTGTCAAAAAGTGATTCTATAGAACTGCGAAATTACCATTAGGTTTTTTTCAAAAGGTATTTATGATATCTAACTGTCCTGAAATTCATTCAAATTCCTATCGTATATGTTTTGATGTATCAAACGGTCAAAAAATTGGTTATATACGCCCAATATGGCCTGATACATATAATACATTACCTGATACTTCATTTACAGAAGTTTACAACACAATCATTCGTTTGCTATTAAAAGAAGATAAACCAGTTGCCCAAATTAAAGGTTATTTCAAAGAGATAAATCCATATTTATTATTATTTTTAAATCGTCTAAAACAAATTGAAATTGAATTCAACAGTTACAGTAGTACTGATAGTAGGATTAAAGAACACAAATACTTTACTTGAAGGGATTATTCAAATGGTAAAATTATTGAATTATCTGAGAATATACGGGAAAAGTTGATTATTGGCTAGTAGTCAAAAAACGTATATAAGTAACGAAAGAATTGAATATAATTAATCC